ATCCACAAATGTTGCAATATAGCAGGCGCAAGCTCGCGCGCAGAATCCCTTAGTACGCCTCTTAAAATTGGCAGAACAAGCAATTTCGCGACAAAGGCAGCGTCTGCATGCGTCGCGTCCGTTAACTGCGGCACGAGTCTATCTCACACGAAAGGCTTAGTGTTTTGTGTAGATAACTTCGTTTCCAGCTAGACGGCTAACGACAAGTATACTAAACGATAATGGGTGTGGCAGAAAACAGCCAAGGAGTAAGATATTTTTAGAAGCGAGAGAGGTGACCGACGAGGTGGTCGAGGCCGTGGACGAGGCGGACATGGTGGGAAGGATCGTCCGGCTCTTATTGAATCATCTGGAATTTTTTCGGAGGGATTGAGTGGAGTAGATCCTGGCCACCGTAGGATCAAAGATGAAGCAGGTGGGTTCTATTAAAATAAAGATTTGATTACGTCTTGCATATTAAACGGCCTCAGGTATCTGTGTTACACGAGTTAAAGAAGAAGTAACTTCTGGAATGACATCTGGTGACGGCTACCAGGCCAGCTATGAAGAAATCTGGGAAAGTGATGATGAGGCTGACATGCAGGAGCTCAGCGAACTTTTCAGAGAAGGGGTAAAAATTTAAAGATTGACATGTTCTCGTACATTTTCTTCTTTTAGTTTATTAGCGACCTGAACCAAGGGACTGTGTTGCCTCACGTTCTTCCCTTGGAACTTCAACCGCAGTTTGTAGATCTCATGCACAAAGATGTGCGACAAGAAATTTTGGATGGAGAGGACGAAGTGAAAGCTGAGATAGAGCTTGATATCAAAGATCACATCTTGCCGTACGTTGCATGTCTGAACTGGTTTTTGTAGTCGAAAATCCGTCTTTAGAGAAGAAGGCGATGGCGTAGAGACTGGGGACGGTGAGAGTCCAACAGGCAAACGTAGCAGAAAGGCTGGTCGTATACTCAAAAGTCTTGACAAAGGTAATCTATACTCTGTTTTGGGTGTTAAAGAGTCGAAATCGAATTCGAGTTTTTACCCTTTCTGGTGTGCTGAACAAAAGCAACTTCAAGTTCAAACTGCAAAGAAACAGAATCCGGCCCTTTTTAAGTTCACGCGGACGAGTGGCAAAGGGACGATTTGAATTTTGGATTTTTGTTTCCGGTCCGAAATGACCGCAAGATTTTCTCGTAGAGTGCACTGCTTTTATGGGAAGCTAAACACTGGCGGTTTGAAGAGAAAATTACTGAGTAAGCGGAGTGCCTGAAAGGGGCGAGCTGACCTAAACTCTGGAGTGATTTGTCCGCTTACACGGCAAATTGTTTGTCTGAACTTGAAGAATAGCTTAGTCAGAGAGTTTATTATCTCTGTATGTGAGGGCGCATGCATCGTGCAGGTGTATTTAGGTTTTCACGGTTTTTCTCTTCAAAGTTCTGTAAATTCCAAGGCATAAGTGTCAATTCAACTTTTTCATCCTTTTCTTTTGAGTGCTTCTCTTTTTCGTATTTTTTGGATTTTAGCTTCTCAGAGTTTGGGTCCAATTGGAACAGTCTGCTTAAAATTGATGGATTTTCAGTTCAGCTAGATTATCTTCAGAGACGCGTGAAAGTGATCTTTTCATGATTCAACTGCCAAGCATTTTGAAAGTGATCAGTCAGAATAACCCTTCTGATGACAAACTTATATTTCCTACTGAACAGACAAATGGAGATTCAAAGGTGATTTCTTTTTCATAGTATTAC